CCCCCCCCACCCTATGACTATCCGTACATATACATATAAATTTCTTTAACTTTTATATTTGCCAATTAATTATATGGCCTCTCAGGTATACTAAATGGGTAAAAAAGGCATTTTTCCTGTTCTTGAACAAATGGAAGGCTCCAATCTCTTGCTACATGCAATTCAATTATCTGAAGAATAAGAAGTTTTTTTCTGATGTCCACTTTTTCATTTTTCCCTCTTAATCATCAAAAATCATCACCCTCCCCCCCCCCATGTGGGGTAATTAAAAAAATATACACTTCTGAAAATACACACGACTGATGAACCATGATATAAACCTAGGCAAAAGTGCTCCAGCTTGTATACATTTTATGAGATTTTTTGGTTTAGATCACTGTGCCCCTGCTGGAAACCCTTGTTACTGAGATGCGCAAGGCCCGAGATAGAAACCTACCTTATGATTTCCAGCATTATATTATGATATCTAAACTGTACAAGACTAGGAACTTAACCACAGGTGTCAATGGAGCAACAACAGAAACCCAGGTAGGAATTCTCTCCCCAGTCTCCAACCATTCTAATTATCCCAATTTTTTAAACAATTGCATAATTTTTTTTAATTTGAGCCAATTTTCCCTTGTATAAAATTGTTATAGTCGTATATATCAATACATTAAAGCTGCATGCATACACAATCAATATGACAAAGATTTTAATTGTTAATTGGTTTAATTGGTGTAATTATGTTTATATACCACGGGTGTGATAATTTAAAACCTCTTTTTTCGACTTCATTGGCCGTTCAGGAATTCAGCCAGATGATCTGTTTACTTGTAATCTTTTAGCTTGAAGCTTGTTAAATATCATAACGTTAATAGAAAAGTTGTCGTAATTGATATAAATGCCGAACACTGTAGAATGCGAGGGGAAAAAATTAACAAATTTATTTGTGCTGAACTTTTCATCCTTGTTTATCAAAAATCGTTGATTATGAAATGACAGTTTGTTTTCTACTTTCTTTTTAACTTCCCCGCAATCTTAGCGTTTCTGTCTTGAGATTATTTGAAACCGGTTTTGTATGAAAACGTTTAAAGATTAAATCTACCACAGCCAGAGGCATAATACACAATATGGGTCTAATCTCTACGTCAGAGTCTAGACTTCCAATTTAATACCTCGCAAATCAAATCTTTTTTCGATCAAATCAAGTCAACCTTCTTTTTTTAACTAAGGCTACGAAGATACTTCATTTGTCCTTTGATAAACAATTTCGAAAAACTGTTTTTGATTTTACTTGTTTATGATATTATAAAAATGCTGAGTTGGTCCGCTAGACTGTCAGGTTGGATATCAAGCGAGTACTTGAACGGTTGTCCAAGTTTCAACCGTTTTAATCTGTTAGGTTTAGACAAAGCAATGGATCCGCTATTAGTCACTTCTTTGTTAAAAAAGATCCAACTAAAGTAAGATACCAGCGGGTCTTCACTAAACATGAATTGGATCCTCGTGAAGATTGAATTGAACTTATATAATGGATCGAACATAGGGGGTTTATACAGTTCTCGAACTATATATATATATATACTTTCCCTCTGTCTGTCTGGCGGTTCGTATGTCTGTCCATTTGTTTCCAAAAAAATTTAAGCAAATCTAAACAAAATTTTTAATGAATTCTTTTCTATCTCTTGCCCCCCCCCCCTTACCACCCGGACTATTCGGTTTAAATTTCCAAATAGTGTCAATTCCAGCCTAGATATTCAATATCTAGAAGGGGCCAAACATTTGGAAAATTATATTCTCTGAGAATGGTGAAAAGATCTTTCCTATATGAAAGATTTTTATGTTCCATTGAAACAATACATAGTTCTACATGAAAATCTCTGAAACAATATCGTATTCAATTTCAAAACATTCAGATATTTCGACACAGTTTCAGTTAGGTCGTTTCTTTCGTCGCCCTCCCCCTGAAGAGAGATTTCGACACAGTTTCCTCGTTCTTTCTGTCGCCCTCCCCTTAACAGATATTTCGACACAGTTTCAGTTAGCTCGTTCCTTTCGTCGCCCTCCCCCTTAAGAGATATTTCGACACAGTTTCCTCGTTCTTTCTGTCGCCCTTCCCCTTCACTCTACCCCTCAACCACATGTCACCTTTTTAAACAAGTTTTCTGGACAAAATTACAGTGTCTTTGGTTTAAATTTCCAAATAGTGTCAATTCCAGCCTAGATATTCAATATTTAGAAGGGGCCAAACATTTGGAAAATTATATTCTCTGAGAATGGTGAAAAGATCTTTCCGACATGAAAGCTTTTTATGTTCCAATGAAACATTATCCCCCATTTCGTTCCTAAATATCTTTAAATAGTGGTTCAAGGCGTATACCCTCAGTTTTCTTGCTTCTGAAATATTTATATGTTAATTGAGATACTACTGGTGTAAACTCTAGTTATATAATATTGTATGAAACCTGATCTATTCCAACGATTAATGTATTCGTAGGCAGTCGTGTTCTCCAATCCAGAAGAGGAACTTATTGTGGGAGAAAGTGAACTCTGCATTGATTATGATGTAAGTACTTGATATGTATTGGTTGTTAATTCGGTGTATATTTTCTTAAATTACCCGGGCCCGCCTAAATTCAGTGTTGCAACTTGTCTACATTTAAATTTCACGATTTTCTTTAAGTTCATTGGAAATCACTGGCTCCCCCTTTTTAAATAATACTGCCATTTCATGTAGTGTTAATCTTGAATCCAAAATTATAGCTTTGATTTCTCTACACGGGTGAATTTTTTCAGATATTGAATGATTTGGGGGAAAGGAAAGTTTTTTTTATTTTCCTCCTAATTCAATTTTTTCCCTAATAAAGCGAATTAAATTCTTTAAAAAAATGGAGCTCCTTAATTTACATATTATATATATGGAAATAAAATATTTCAGCTTTTAACTTCACATTTTTAAAAAAAAGAATTAAACTAAACAATGTTTCACGTCTATCATGACGATCCTCAGTAGTTACAATTCTTTGAACAACATAATATATGGAGACGAAGCTCAACAGAATTCACATGGATAGGGAGATTTTAGATTTACAGAATTTACGTGAATTTGAGGGAGATTAAGCTTAGCAGAATTCACGTGAATAGGAGGGAGATTAAGCTTGGCAGAATTCACGTGATTAGGAGGGAGATTAAGCTTAGCAGAATTCACGTGAATAGGAGGGAGATTAAGCTTGGCAGAATTCACGTGATTAGGAGGGAGATTAAGCTTAGCAGAATTCACGTGAATAGAAGGGAGATTAAGCTTGGCAGAATTCACGTGAATAGGAGGGAGATTAAGCTTGGCAGAATTCACGTGAATAGCAGGGAGATTAAGCTTGGCAGAATTCACCTGAATAGGAGGGATATTAAGCTTAGCAGAATTCACGTGAATAGGAGGGAGATTAAGCTTAGCAGAATTCACGTGAATAGGAGGGAGATTAAGCTTGGCAGAATTTACGTGAAAAGCAGGGAGATTAAGCTTGGCAGAATTCACGTGAATAGGATCGAGGGACATTAAGCTTGGCAGAATTTTCGTTGGAGGGAGATTAAGCTTAGCAGAATTCACGTGAATAGGAGGGAGATTAAGATTAGCAGAATTCACGTGAATAGGAGGGAGATTAAGCTTGGCAGAATTTACGTTGGAGGGAGATAAAGCTTGACAGAATTTACATTAATAGGAGGGAGACTAAGCTTGGCAGAATTTACGTTGAAGGGAGACTAAGCTTGACAGAATTTACGTGAATAGGAGTGAGACTAAGCTTGGCAGAATTCGCCTGAATAGGGAGACTTAAGCCCATCAGAATTCATTTAAATATATACTCGGCTTGACAGAATTCACGTGAATTGGGTATAATTACAGGGTGGCCAAAATGTACGGATTGTACGGATTGATTTTTTTTTAACCCTAAAATTGTACGGATTGTACGGATTGTACGGATTTGTTTTCAAATTGTACGGATTGTACGGATTTTATCCTGGAAAATACACCGTTTTTTTAAATTTTCACTCATTTCAGCAAATTTTTCATGAAAATAAAAAAAAATTCTCGTCAAAATGAAGTTAGTTTAACTTATTTTCTGCATTCTAAATAATATTAGATTGATTAATGTTTCAATTGACAATCAAAATTCATTCATAATTTTCGAGATATGTCCAAGAAGTGTTTATTTGAGAATATGTTCCATAAGTACTTATTTGATTGCT